CATAATGTGCAGAATTATATTTGACAAGATCGTAAGAATTTCTCTTATTCAACAACTTCTGAGAATCTTGAAACTTCTTGCATCGATGAGCACAGACATTCTTTGTTTTAACAGAAATGATTTTGAGCTTTAGGCTCATGAGCATGTACCTACTTGGGTCCAATAATCAGTATGCAAAACACACACACAGACTTTTGTGTAGTGAAGTTACAGAAAGGGATAGACATAAACATCAGTGGATACCACCAATTCTTTCCTCTCTGACACATCACCCTGGCTTCCATATCTCCCATCTCTCTTCTTCCTTCAACATTGGCTGTAGCATATCAGTCTCCTGTGTTGAACCCTTATCATTTCTCACCTTTTTACTATTGAACATCCATTTCTTTCCCACCCAGCCACGCTCACTGGGTGGTGTCAGTGAACTTCATATCTTTAATTGCTCTCTCTATATTGGTGATGCCCAACCATTTTCACTAGCTGTGCCTTCTGCAATGAGAGGTCATTTGTACTCTGCTCCTTCCTGGCAAACCTGGGAGGCCTCTAGAATTTCAAGGTGGCCAAGATGAGCTTCAGAATTATTTTTTTCACAACAGTTTCTCACTGTGAGAAAAAAAAAATAAAACAAGAGAGGGAGAGAGAGAGAACTTGCATGCCTTTCTCAAGAAGCACTTCTAACCACTGGTTGCTTTGGCCAGACTTTCAAAATTGCAGAGCAACAAAACACACTGCCATCATGGTGCCCTGATGTGCTAGAGGAGCTGAGAGAGCAGGGAGCACAATGTCTTATCACATGGATGAGAAAGCCTTCCTGGACACAGACGTATTTAAGCTAGGCTCTGAGGGTAATCAAGGTTTGGGAGCTCGGAGCTGAACTCATCTCCAGTGCTCCAGATAGTCAGCATACCTTTAGGGCATGGCTGAAGCATAGGATATGTGAGGGACCTAAAAGAGCAGACAATTAAGCGTGTTAGAACAGGGAAGCCAAGCAGCTGACTGAGACTTCAGTTGGGAGGTTAAGGAAACAATTTTATTGTCACATGGGTAAGAGGCTTAAAGCAGCCTACTGGAGATAGATAATGCATGTTGAGGCATAAGCTGCATCAGAATGTGTTACTGCAAACATTTAAACTATCTCAAGCATGGTAAAGCATACTCATACCCTGTACAAGATTTATTTATATACTAATAATTCGTGATTCAATTTGATTTCTATTTGACCAGCTGATATAAAGCATTTGAGAACTTTTGTGGCTTGGGTTTTAACATTTTTTTTCTTTTTGATAGCCAATATTTAGTAGGTCAGTAAAGACCCTGAAGGCCTGTAGCCTTCATACAGCAGGACAGATCAAATAGTTCTACAAACAGAAAGGCTGCAGCTCAAAGCATTATATAAAGATAGATACTTACATACAAGAGCAATGTAACACACAAATATGCCCCAAACACAGTCTCCAAACAATCGACAAAATAGAATAACTCATTTGGGCAAGATGTGTGCTCTCAAAGGAATTTTATGTTCAAAACCTTCTTATAAGTTTTCATTTATAGGAAACTAGTTCAAATGTTTTTTTAAAGGGATAGACAAATTGGTATGCAATTTAAATCATTTCTTTCTTTGCTTTTAAATGTCTTGACTAATTTTATCTTAAGTTCATCATTTAATAGGTCACAACTCATTGCTTTTGTTGCCAAATATTCATTTAGCTATGATTTTCCAAAATGTAGAGGAATGACTCAAGTCTGTTTCAGTTTGAGATATTGTCATGTGACATTGGTATAGGAAAAGACAGGGCACTCTGAAGTAGACTTTCAGTCAACATAAAATAATTTGGGTTTGGGTATTTTCTTTGTGGTTGTATAAGATGGGACATTATTCCAGAGTAACAAGTGATACAACTTAATATCTCAAGAAATTATAAAAGAATTAGACATTTCCCATGCCACCAGGCTCCTTAGTGCTGCTACCTTATGCGTAATAAAATGTTTCCTCATTTTACATAGCAGGAAAGCTAGCTTTTCATTTTTTATGATTTTATTCCACTTTTCAATCAAGTGTTTTGTTAATTTGATGCTTCATTTTAGTGGACTTAAAGAAAACCTTACTCATAATTTTTATTTTGTTTTGTTTGTTTTCAAGACAGAGTTTCTATGTAGCAATGGCCATTCTGGAGCTCACTCTGCAGACCAGGCTGGCCTTAAACTACTTTCTTTTAAATTCTTCTTTCTCTCTCTTTTTTCCCTTTTGAGGCATGGTCTAATTTTTTAGCCTAGCTCCTCTGGGACTCCCAATCCTCCTGCCTCAGTCTCTTGAATGCTGGCTCATGGGTGCCACCAATGCTGGTTTAACACTACACACTTATGAAACCACTTTCTGTATGTGGCTTAGCATGCTGATTCCCATTTGCCTGGTTAATTAGCACCTGTTCTGTAAGATGATTCTGATGCCACCCTGTCATTGGCATATTCATCTGGACCCATGAAATTTAACATTTTCGAATAAAAGAGAAGTACTTGGGAAAAGTCAACACATATTCTACGTAAACGTGACTCAGAGGTACTATGAAAGATCTTTAAAATATAGTTTTATGCATTTAAAATGTTTAGATGTCTATATTATATAATGACTTCTCATGCTTCCCTTTGAGCTTAGATTGAAATTGATTGGCTAAGTTATAGAACATCTTTTTTCTTAACAGCAAATGAACTCTCCAATGCAGTCTGGCTATTCATCCATAATTCAGGATCCCAGCCTAAAACATTATGCTCAGACAAGCACAAATATTGGCAAAGGTGAAAGACTGAACTGCTACAGTAGCAGCAGAATTATGTCACAATCTGTGTGTGCACTTGAATTCTGAGAGCTGGGACTACAAATTAAAAGAGAAAGCAGTCAACAATGTAGCTGCAGATAAAATAGTCAAGAGAGTAAAGCCAGGCTATCATTGTTGAAAGAAAGACCCTTCCTCTTTATTTCTTATTCATGATTATGAAGTGAAAATAAAAGCTGCTTGGAGAGATTTAAAAAAAAAAAAAAAAAAAAGCACATTATCAACCTAAGCAATGAAAATAAAAGTTCTTTAAAAAAAATGTTCTTTTGAATCTTTAACTTTGAAAACATCAAATCCAGTTCTATTTAAATTAGGACAAATTCACCTCTCCTCAAATTAATATCTTCATTTGTCTTAGTTTTCTGTCCCATAATGGCAGTCTCTGCTTATGAGGATGGTCAGCGGGCTCCAATGAGTAAGCAAGGCTTCCAAATCTCCCCTACCCCCACAGATGACTCTTTCCCTTTGCCAGAAGGGCTAACCCCCTGTGGCTTCAAAGGATCTTCAGGACATACAATGAGAACAGAAATTGTGCTTCGCTGGCTGAATCAGCAGAATTAGCCCAGCAGATCAATGTGGTGGCAGACACGCAGAGCAATCACTTCACTTCCTGCCCTCTCTTTCTTCCATTGACACCAGCCAGAGGTGACATTCTGCCATAGACCTCACACCCCTGCCCATCAATCAGCTATATATACAAGACGATCTATGTTTAGAGATGTTCTTTTCCTGAGTTTCAGGGTTCAGCATTCTAACTGTCAGATAGCCTTCTGAATTTCTGTAACTTTGGCAAAAAAGAAGAATGGCTTATACAAGTACATATATAACAAAATCACCAGTTTTACATGGCTCCGAAGGCATAAAACATGAACGATCTTCTAAAAATCTACACAATCAGAGAAACAAATCTGACACATTATCAAGCTATTATTCTTTTATTACTATCTGAATCATTCACCATACCACAACATCGACAAATTATATCACAAATTCTATTTAATATATTGTGCCCTTGCATGTCACAACATAGTCCTGGGAGGGTCCAAGAGTCATGACTGTCTGGTCCCAAAACTGTTCTGTGTTTTGCAAATGGGACATCTAAGTAGACATCCAGCAGACCTAGTGTGGAGCAGAGATGGGACCTCAGCTCTTTTCCCTCCTCCACATAATTCTCAAGAAAAGCCACTTACATCTACGTTATAAAAAAATAACAAAGCAAGGCTAAAGCATAAATACTCTTCAGTTTTGTTCTCCCCCACTCAGGACTGTCCTTCACCAAGGACAAGATAAAGAATATGGAACAGAACTGTAATCTGACCCTAAAGGAGTCCCTTCAAACCTTTCCACATCTGTCCTTTATTGCAGTACTTAGCTTATCTAGAGAATTCCACCTTTAACAAACTCATAGATACATCCTCCATGACCAAAACAACCTTCTCCACATTTTGATGGGGTCAGGTCTCCTTTCCATCATTCGTGCATGATGCCACTGGAGCAAGATTTGACTCAATAATTTCCCCGTGGGAATACAGCAAAGGCATGTGGTCAGAGGAATCGTTTCCACATACACATACCAAGCTGTACCAACTTAATTCTGAGATCACTGAAACTGAACAAAACCAATCAGAATTTTCAATCTTAGGTTTGGGGGTTGGGGTGGAGCTTAGGTCTTATTTTCACCACAGACCCCCCCCCTTTATTTTAATTGAACAAGGATTTTAGAAGATTCTTCAACAATAAGCAGAAGAGAAGTCCAACTAATACGGATATCACAAATCAGCACAGACTGATAATCACAAGGTAAGGGGCCCTGACTGAGGAAGTTCTCAAGGAACCTGAGCCTCCGATTAGACATGGAGCTCTTTGCACAGTGTTGTCATGGCAACCCTGTCAGGACAGCACTGGCATAATTGATTTTGCAACTGGGCACTAAAATGGACACACAATCACAATTTGCTACATCTATCTGTCTTTCCTTTTCACATGAAGTGCGTGTTGTCTCAAGACAGCGTGGGCTTACTGAAAATACTAAAATAAAAGATACCCAGTCTATTCTCTTCTTTGCTGGAACTCCATAAAGTTGAATGAAAGACCAAGAAAACAGAGGATATTCTGAGATAAGGTGATAGTTTTTCTCCAGCACATTTAAAAACTGCATTTCTGGCTTACCTTGTAGCCTCTGCATCACGTTGGTGATGTCCCGATGGGACCTTGAAGAGGCCCTGGAGGTTGCCATGGTCCTTCTGGTAGCATGGAACCAACACCAAGGTGTTCCTCGGTGCAGGGTAATACGATGCTGCTTTGGATAACACGTGAAGTCTTGTCTATGCCCACTGAGTATCAGACAGATCCCCAGAACTCATGGTGATCATTGAGGAGACAGCGTTCTACCACGGTGAACCACAGATTCGCCTTCTGTCCTAAGGCAGCCCGCTTAGGTAGACTCAAGAGCCTGAAAAGCAAAACAACAAAAACATACAGTTATGAAAAATATCTACCTTAGTCATAGTGCAGAAGAAGAATGTTTCTATTCTGTTGCAATGTCTGACTCACTATCAAGGGAGACAGCTAATATAGAAAACACTAGAAAATTTAAAGCACTGAGCAAGCTTTAGGCGTGTGTGGTGGGTTGAACAGGAAAGGCCCTGCTCATGTGCTTGGCGCTCGCCCCCAGCTGCAGACAGGACATCAGGAGGGCTGGGCTTTGAGGGTCAATAGCCTCAGTCCACTTTCTGCTTCCTACTCCTGCCAGCGCATCATCTTTTCCCCAGCACAATGCATTTTAGCTTATGAATCTGGAACCATAAGCTAAAACAAGCCCCCCCAACCCCTTTCCCTTAAGGTCGCTTTAATCACGCTCATTTATCAGAGCGAGAGAAAAGTAACTGGCACAATATGTGATAAAATAAAAAGTAGGCTGCCTAAAATAAGTCAGATAGTGAGGTCTTGACATTGAGAAATGTGCTCTGTCCAAGAAATGCTCACTGTGTTGTTTCCTGCTTAACCAATGCATACTGATTTGTAACTTACAATCAAAATGCTGAGCTTCATCTCTCTATGTTTAGTCATCCCCTTACCTAGGCTATTTTAATTGTTTTACAAACTTTTTTTTTTTTTGCATCGTTTCATTGGACACTTTCCAAGAAGGGCATCTTGTCCCAGCTTCTACTAACAATTTGGTGAATTAACACAGTAAATATAGGGCTTCATTGATAGGCTGGGGTGCTTCATTGGACTTCACTAGCAGAGTGCTTGTCTGTATATGAACAGCCTTAAGCTCAATCCCCAGGAAGGCATGTAATCGCAGAGCTCCAGATGTAGAAGCAAAAGGATGAGGCATCCGAGGTCATCATCATCTCTGCAGATACCTCAGTGTCAAGACTTTTCTATCTGATGTATTTTTGGCAACCTACTTTTTATTTGATTTTATTTTGTCACTTGCTGTGTTAGTTACTTTTCCCCTGCTGTGATTAAAAGGAACTCAGGGGGAAGAGGAGGAGCTTATTTTAGCTTATGGCTCCAGAGGCATAAGCTGAAATGTATCAAGCTAGGTAAGGGATAGTATGCTGGCATGTGTAAGAAACAGAGAGATCACATTCCGTCCAAACAAGGAAGCAGGGGTGGGGGGGTGGTTTTCAAGGCCAGCCTGGGATACATGATATTATCTCAAAAAGCAAAACAAATAAGAAAGCATACAAACATATAAATTATTGCATTCTAAATATGACTTCCAAATAATCTCATTTCAAAAGACAAGAATAGGCCTGGCTTTTTTTTTTCTTTTCTTGCTTATACAGAAAGATTCTTAAGTACACAGCAAGACTGGGATGGGGTAAGTTAACATTATCATCCTAGCCACACCCCTCCCAATTCTCTGCTTTGTTGGTGCAATTGCTCACTCTCATTTTGGGTGGTGAAAAAGAGGTAGCCAAGTCGTTAGTGAAATCCTGACATTGAGAAATGTACTGTGAACAAGGATTTCCTAACCCTGGGGTACGCTGAACAAAGTCTTGCTATGAACGAGGTAATTAGAAGAGTCATGCTCCAGGGGAGACACTCCGGGAAGGGTTATGCTGCGGCCTGTGTGCAGCAAATCTTTCTGGTCAGTCACACTGTGCATCTCCACGAGATGATGCTGTCAGAAGAAAACAAGGACTGTGTCTGGGAGATAAAGGACAGTGGCCAAGTCAAAAGTCTACAGAAAGAGCAATGCACACACAGGGGATGTTCCATTTGACTGAAGGAAAAAATTACAGTAAGACGAATCTCTATGTGCTGTACAAAACAATGAGTGGATGGAGGATTGGTTAAGTCATTAATCATAATGGCACATTGTTGCCCATCTAAAGTGTCATCATAAGGATTCAGACATATTGTTTCTGGTTGGAATGCTTCAGTTCCAACTGCAGAGGGTGGAAAACACTGACTGTGTGTTCACATATCAAAGGAGTGTAGTGAAGCAGAAGGCCTCACTAACTGTTCACTTCATTTCAGGAGACAGAGATGCCCTGAGCAGTTTCACATGTTGGGGAGGCAGAGGCTACTGGAAAGAATATATGTGAGAAGCAGGACTCAGCACTCAGCGTCTTGTAGGTGGGAGAGGTGATATGCAGAGGGCAGAGCTTCAAGAGATGGGGAGGGTAAGAAACAACTTCATACAACTGTACATCATGGCCTGTGCCTTAACCTAATAGCAGCCCACAGCCCCTGGAGAGAAGATTGCCCTGCCTAAAGAAGAGAGCTACTGGGACTGGCAAACCAGAGGATGAGAGACATTTCAAGGGTGAGAAACTCGGGTTCCTCAAATGTAAGGGTAGAACTCAGGGATGTCCCTCTGCTTGCTTATCTATCTAGGATCTACCCACGATGTGTGTATCTATTGACATCATTTATACATAACACACACTAGAGGTGGAGAGAACAGTGGCTGGAATATGGCTCAGTACCAAGGCACTTATGTAGTACATGCAAGCCCCTAGTTTAATTCCAGACACTGAGAAAACAAATCAACAACAGCAACAACAACAACAAAACCCAGAAACTTGTTTCAGCCAGCTATCTCACACCAGTCCCTGACAGCCCTGATGTCCCTAACAGCCCCACACTTTCTACCCAGAATTGCAGAATGTGAAGGGTTTTATTTTCTGCAAATCACTGTATCAGCCTATGTCTCCTTCTTCTTGTTCATACAAATGTCTCAAAAAGACTAATCTTTGAATCACTTTTCTCTTCACATTAAATTATGATTTACTTGTGTCTGTTCTCATGTATCCAGTTTTATTGCCACTGCAAAACTCACACATTCTGAAATCCTGAGCTCAGAGTTGAGACAGAGATAAAATGTGGCACAGAACCTATTCTTTGAGGAGTGTAGAACACAGTGAGAGAAGCAATGTAGAAGAGACAAATTAAAAAAAAAAATTCCAGGAATAAGTATGAATGTAAAACTAGAGGGATAGAGAAGATGGGGGCTATGTCGATCTTGGGGTTCTGGAATGATATCCTGAGAAGGATTTAACGTCTAAGCTGAGTCTGGGTCAATGGATCAGGTAAAAAGATGAACGCTGCCTTCCAGGCTGCACCAGGCTTCAGGAAAGACCTCAGTGTAAGGAACAGCATGGTACCTTGATACTGAAGCACTGTGTTCTGGAAGAGGTGGAGTGATGGAAGGCCCTTCACACTATGCTCACAATTTCCCTAAGAGACACCAAGAAGGCATTCAGTGACCCTGGGTTAGAGACGAGAATTACAACTACTGGTGTTCTTCTGCGTGAGACTGAATTTTGCAGAGCTCAAGCTGGCCTTGAACTTGATATGTAGCTGATAATAACCTTGAACTTCTTGCGATTCCCAACTCTTCAGGGCAGGGATTGTGGATCCACACCACCATGCTTCATTTATGTGATTCTAGGGATCAAAACTATAACTTTATACAGCTTAGGCAAGCAGTTCACTGACGTAACTGCACCCCGAACCCGGCTACTGTCTTCAAGGCTGTGTTTGAGGTGGGTAAGGCTGAAAGATCCAGGAAGCTGGCTAAGGAAGACAGCTGGAATATAGGTGGGAGCTGCATGGAAGAGACAATGAGCAGAGGTGGAGGAAAAACGTAGGAAGTGAACCTTACAAACCTTGGTGAGGGGTCAGCTAGGACTGGAGAGGTCTGGGATGGCCAAGGAGTTAGGAAGATGCATTTCCAGGGTGGAGAGAGGACAGTAAGAGGTCTTGGGAGACACGAAGGGTTCTTGGCGATGCTCTGAGGGAATTTAGTGTCTCTTCATACCCTTTTCTCTCTGAAAACTCCACGCTGAAGGAAGGGACAGCAGCCCAGTGCCCCGCATGTCAACGCCTTCCCGGCTGCCTCAGCGCGCCTCCTCCAGCAGAAACGGCCCACGTGAGGTTGAGCACACATTGGCTTACGCTCATCACACTGTAAGCTCGCTTCACTCTAACGAGGCTGTGACTGTTACTGGTAGAGGGACGATGGCACGTTTTCTTTCTGTAGTGGTCGGGTGGCACAGAGGGCTTGTACATGTTTAAAACTATGTCCTAGTCCTGGGACTTTAATTTTTCTTGCCTTTCTCTTTCAGGCACTGATATCAACTATATCCATGGACACATGCTGAACATTCAACGTTGAATTTTTAAATTATTTAATCAAGTGCATAATAGTTTGTGTCTATGAGATAATACCCTTCATCAAACTCCTTCCTCTCTAGCACAGGAGTTGGGGCAACATCCTTCCTTTTTCAGGGCTAAGATAAACTATTTCGATTTCTTCATTTGCCTATGCACGTATACCCGAAATTGTGAAATTATGCTTTTTTTGCTTTTGGCTGATACAATAGGGTCAATTAATAAGAAATTTCAAATTAATGAAAAGGAAGTATGCTGTTAATAAGAAATTCCAAATTAACGAAAAGGAAGTGTAACAAAGGGACCATAAATTTGGAAATATGAGTTCTAAGCCAGCTAGTGGGGTAGTTTCATGATAATCTTGTACGGGAGAACTTTCAACAGTAGCTTCCTAGAGGGGGTAAAGTTCCAGAAAAATCAGGCTCTGGCAAAGAAAATCCTAGAGCTGACTCTTGATTTGTTCATATGATCACTGATGTGTTTCTGTGTATGTGCCTCTCTACATGCTAATGAACATGGTCTGTGTGTACATGCCTGCTTGTGTGTGGGGGAGGGGAGGCCAAACTCAGTACCTGGAGTCTCCCTCCATCGCTCTCCACCTTATTTTCTGAGATGCTGTCTCTCACTAAACTGGGAGCTCACCGGGTAAAATGTAAAATGCGATCAGGGGCTGTGAGACTCTGTGACAGGCCATTTGCCTACCCCATGTAAGACGTGGGGTTCATCCTCAGCACTGCCGAAACGAGTAAGTAGTAAGTACATTTGGCATGTAATTTCAACAAATCCCTGTTGTTGTTTTTTTCTTTGCCTCATTTTCTCAAGCCTAAGCCAGGAAAATTCCCAAGTGTGCTTGCTAAAGGCAGTATGAGTGACAGCCAGGCAGCTAGGGACTCGCGGTCCCCAGACCCTTGAAGAGAGTGGTCCTGCAGCAGCAGACACGAGCATGAGCTGTCTGAGCACAGCACCAGGACCAGACCCAGAACCATCACGATCTCACCTTGCCAATGCTGTACAGGTGGCTTTGCTTTCAATAGATGCAGGAAATGGGGGGGGAAGGATGAGAAGCACGGCTTAGTTATTGGGATGGGTAGAAAGGATATCCATGGGTTATATGCCAACAGGACAGGCCCTGCCCCATCTCCACATCTTCTCAGAAACCACTGAGAGTTGGTATGGCTAGGTATACCTGCCATACCACACAGAAGAGCTAGATTCCCACGTTTATTATTTCACAGAAAATATGCAATAAGAATTTGTGAGTGGCAGTAGTACAATATTTAGTAGTCCATGCAGTGACCAAAGCCGACAAGTCCCTCCGGGAGCTTAGGTCACAGAGCAGGAGATTACATAAACAACAACTCGGGGTGTCTTTGTAAAGTTGCCACCCCGGGTCAACCTGGGAACAGCCACCATCTGTTGTACTGATGGCACAGGGGAAGGCCAGGGGCCAGAGGACCTCAGCCTCTGTTGTGTGGCTTCTCCCAGCTGGGTGGTTCCCTCCTTGCAATGCTAGCACCTGTGAAAAGCCCAGTGGGAGATGTCACGAGTCTCTACTCAGAGTGCACAATACACTTCTCTGGCACTTTCTTGCTTGTGCGACTAAAATATAAAAATAAACTGAGGAAAGCAGCGGGAGAAATAGTACTGGATCCAGAGATTCACCTCAGGACAATACAGGTAGCACTGTCAGTGCTAGGAGAAAGTGGCAGAAAGGTCCAGCCATCCATTACCAGGCATAATGCCACTAACTTAGAGACAGAAATCAGGAACTGAGACCACAAGCATTCAAGTAAGTTTACAACAATGAAGTACAGCTACTAATTAAATGTCTCCGCGTGTAGAGAAGCCCATGGTTTAAATTGAAGTAATCTCACTCTCCTTTATACTCTGTTATTGGAGTAACTTTAAAATAATGCACAGTCTTAAAACCAACTGTTTTTCTTTACCCACCCATTAGTGCTGGCATGAATTACTGAACATTACGATGGCTAGAACCAGAAAAGCGCTCCCGTGGGTTAATGCAAGGATATTACTAATGCAGGCATGGAGGGTGTCGGGAAAGTGTTGCTCATTAGCCAATTAAGAATTGCTTGAGATAACAACAAGAAGCGAGGCCATTCGTAGAAAGAAAAAAATATTAAAGTAATCACAAGGCATCCCAACCGAAAACCAGCGTCAGAACTGACCCTTTGGGAAGTTAAGCCTAGAGCCTTCTACTGGTGATACCTGTCATCCTGGCTCCCCACTTAGGGGCGGGCATGTATTTCAGCCCTTGCTCAGCATTAGTTCTCTTTAGATTGGACCACGAGGAAGTACTTAAGAGGACAGTGTCCACACAGCAGTCTTGAGTCCTGCATGCCAGTCACAGGCAGGCTCCTGGGTGTGGCAGCTGGAGCTGTGAGCATGGCATAATCCACCCTGCCTGGTGACAGGCTTCTTGGGGTCTGCCCAGTCACACCTCCGCCTTGTAGGAAGCTGGGTAGACTGTGTAATTATGGGATTGCAGGACCCAAGGCAAGCAAGCAGCTCCAGATGATCTTGAAACGCAAACTAGCATTTCCTGGACCTCAAGCCCCAGGAGCAAAAGGAGATGGCCTGGATATGAGACAGTTTGAGAAGAACCCTTAGTTAAAAAAGATACAAATGAGGCTGTAACCCCAGAGCTGAGCAAATGTTTCCTAATTACTAACACTATCACAGTCTGAAGATTTTCTTTATCTGCAACATGAAACATATTAAGTTGGTCATGACCCCGGAACATTTTGTTCTTTGTCTGCCACAAAGTAATATAAACAGACTTTAAACACAAGAAAAATAGATGTGTATTTCAGTTGAGCTCTCTAATGTCAGGAATTTTTAAACCCATATTATTAATTTTTTATCATGGAGGATAAAGGGCCTCTCACAGAGAACAGGCCTCATGACTCACAATTAAATCAGCATTTCGTAGAGATGTAGGTCATATTAATAACCTTTGCTTGATTGAAAATTGTGTTTTCTATTTGCTTAGGTCTGGCTCCTATATCAAATGTTGACTTGAATGTAGCTCATAGGTCAAGAGAAAAATAAGTGGGTCTTAAAAAAATAATATTGGGTTTTGGTTTTTTTTTTCTTAACATTCACATAATCTTTTCAGATACAGAAAAGTTTTCCACCCCAAACTGAAAAGCTCCGAAAAACACGATCCAGGGAACTAGGGTTGCACGGTTGATATTTCTCTTTAGGATGGACCTGAGTCTATGGACCAGACCTGAACTTGAAGCATCAAGGAGTTAGGTCAAACCGACAAGCCCAACCTCCTTTCCCAGGGGTGCTTCATTGCTGTCAGCAGCTTCAGTGCTGCCCTGTGCGCTGCATCTGCCTCCCAGTGAACCGCCATTTCCCAGCACTCCTCAGAGGTGCAAAACCTCGCTGGAAAACGTCTTTTTGGAGAGTAGATCAAAGTTATCTTGTCCTCCAGAGCAGGCTCCGCCTGGAGGCGGTTGCACCAGGGCAGTCTGCTGGGCCTCGAAGCAGTCTTCAAGCCTTAGGCTCCTCTACCCAACTTCCCTCCCGCAACCCTTCCTAAAATAGTCTGGGGGTGGAGGAAGGGAGGATCCTAGAATTCGTTCAACGCCTGAAACCTTGCATCTCATAGTAGCAACAGAGCGGACCATAAGAGAGCGGCTGCCTGTCGCTGGGGCATCGCTGGCTCCCAGGATATGTGCAGCAAGCGGAAATGACAGCCCAGAGACCGGGTATTAATAGGAAAATGTACGTACGAGATGCAAAGAGGCAGCCAACCTCCCTCTCGCCTTCTCCAGGAGTGTCACACCGCGTACACACACCGCCGCCACCCCCTCTCCCAGGTTCGCTGCGCGTCAGCGCTCAAGCACAAACTTGCTGCAATGTGTTGCTCTGCACCTGTCATTCCTCCATCGCTGTCCTCCACCTTTGCTGTTTACCTTGATCCGGCCTTGCTGAGGTTCCGAGCGGGGAGGTGACGGGAGCGAATGCCTCCCCCGGCTGCGTGCAGCTCCGGGTACGCGCTGACTCCCTGGCCTTGGAACCGGGGCTCTGGCGCTGTCTGCAGGGTTTGCAGGAGCCAGGATGCCCTGGTGACAGAGTACAACAATCTCAGCCCGGTGTGGGCCGGTGCTCCCGGCTGGCGCACTCGCAGTGCTCTGAGCTGGCGGCTGTGCCCTCCCTCCCTGCCTGGAGGATCCGTCCCTCCCCCAGGCTGCACACCGGGGGGTTAGGCCTCCCCCACCTCCCGCCCCCTGCAGCTGTTGCTCCTGTCGCCAGCGGAGGTCGCCCCAGCGGGTTAGGCCTCTGAGCACCCGCCCACACCACCCCCTCCCCAGGTCCAGGATGTGCGGGTCACCACGCAGAGCCGAGGGCGGGGACCTGCAGATGCTTCCTAGAGAAGCTAGTGGCCACTTCTCTGACAGCCAGAGTCCTGTGGCCCACTCTGCACGGGCTAGCCTCTGCCAAGGGGTCCCCTTCCTAGGGGGCATGATCGTCTCAGCAGCCCAGAGATGCTGCATCATTATGGGTGCTAACTTTTGCCCAGGCTTCCCACAGCACAAGTGGCCTGAGAACAGGACTTGATTGGAATGGCCTGGAGGTTCCTCATGCTTCCAGGAAGGGCATGATGCGGTTTCAGGGACACAGGTGCAGCAGGCTCTCTTAATCTGCCTCCCAGAGCGTCTTAAGGGCTGTCAAATCTCTGGGCTGTCAAATCAGCCATGGGGACGGTGACAGACTGGGCAGGCTTCTTATTTTGTTACTTAGATTTATAAAACATAGAATTCTTGAAAAGACGCTGGACACCATCCTGTCGAGTCTTAATTATTCGCAGTGATGCTTTTGAGAGCTTCATTAGGTTCTTTGGACCCGCTATTCACAGGAATGGGCCATTGCGGTCTGTCTCGAGTCCTCCTCCTGGTGCAAGAGGGCCCACCGTTGCCTGGTAGCCCCGAGAGATTTATTTTGTTGTGGTGTGATGGTTTCCAAGCAAAGTCAAACACGGCCTTTCCCTCCAACAATGAAGCACAAATCTAAAAGGATTACGGAGGCTAGCTGAAGTTCTGTTGCAAGAATCTTAGAGATAATAAGAACCCTCTGAACTGTCAACAGAAACAAAATCATGTTTACTCTCTAAACTCACTGCGTGGAAGCATTGCTTTATTAAGTGGGTTGGGATTCTCCTGTCACCTGCCTCTCTGTCGCCTGCAGCCATCTATCCCACTATTTAACTTTCATTTTTTTTTAAAAAAAAAGTCTTCTTCTAGATCCCATGGAAATAACAACACCTGTCGTGGTTCCTTCTAAAGGTCAATTTAAATACTCTAGATCAGGCTGGCCTTTGGGCACGGCTGTGTGGGATTGATTTGATTTTTAATTCATCCAGCTCACTATAGGTGGGAGTATCACTCCCCAGGTTTGGCCCTGAACTATATAGAGTAGAGAAATATAGCTGAGATGAAGAACAGATAGGCCACATGGGTGTATTCATGCCTCTTTCTCTCTGCTCTTGACTGTGGATAGGGTGTGACCAATGGCCACAAGCTCCTGCCTCTGACTCCCTGCAATGGTAGACTGTAATCTGGAATTGTTTGCTAAATGAACCCTTTCCTGCCCCATGATGCTTTTCTTCATTATGGGGAGAGGGTCCAGACAGGGTTTCTCTGTGTAAAAGGCTGTCCTGGATTCAATTTGCAGAATAGGTTGGCCTTGAGCTCACAGCGATCACCACACCTGACCTCCAGGATGCTTTTTGTTATTGTATTTGACACACCAAAAGAAATAAAACTAGAACAGAGCTCTGAAACAAATCAACTAAAGCAGAGCTCTTGTTCCTTGGGTTTCACTTTCTTTGCAAAAGTAAATACTTTCTAGCACAATATATTATTTGTTTGTTTGTTTCATTTTCTTTGTTTCTTTGCTGGTGCTCTGGTCGGCTACCAACCACATCCCTACCCCTGAGATGAGTTCTAACTGTTGAAACTTGTCATTCAGGACGTTTGCGTTGAAGGAGATAGAGCCTGAAATGACAACCAATGTGTTGCCTGTCCCTTCCCTTCCCTGTCAGAGAGGGAGACTGCTCAGAGCAGTCCTGTGCGGATGGCCACCAGAGCCTAGGTGTTCCTGGCCAGACACAATCCTCCCAGAGAGCCCCCAGCGCAAGACTTGTCCTCAAAAGGAAAATACCAAATAATCTTGGTTCTCCCTCTTAGCCACTATAGTTACAGAACCAGTTTGCCCAAGGGAAGATGGAGAAAGAAGATGAGCTACACGTGAGGTTCTGTGAACCAGAGAAAGAAGATATTTAAGTGGAAATCTAAGAGAAAGCCCTTGATGGTCCCTCACCTCTCTTCTTCTAGACCATGTGTGCCTGATGTTGGCTCCCCAATTAATTTACCTACAATCAGCTCAACTTGACCCTCCACAAAAGGAGTAAGCTCAATTAGACTTCTGGAAAGGGATTGGCATTTTCCCTTACCTGGGGAAGGTTGCTATAGCTCCATTTATCCAATAACTGTTGCTTAAACACCCAGCGCCTGGCTGAAAGCATGCTAAGCACTACGGAATCAAACCTAACCTGGCTCTTGCCTTAGTAGACTGTATAGTGTAGCTAGAGACAGGGCAAGGCTGATTGCATGTACTTACAGAATCCCAGTCTCCAAGGAAAGGCAGGCGTTGTTATGTGAGCTTCTGTTTATTTCAAAGATCAATAAGACTTTGCTAGTGAGATGAAACTGAACCAGGACTTACAGGAACTAGTACTAATGAGGTCAAAGGCAGCTGACAGTTGGGGAGGGGGACACTTCAAAGTTTACAACATGATACTCAATATCCTTCAAAATTACAAGGGATGGATATATACCCTAAGCCAGTAGAGTCTTTTCAGTAGCTAGCTAGGGCTGCAGAGTTAGATTTGTGCTTTGAACTTATCCTTTCAGATACAATGGGGAACACAAATTAGAAGTGGGGCCAGAACCATGAATGTATTACCAGCTAGGAGAGTCCTACGGTCCTCCTTTAAAGAATATTATCACATTTCCTCATTGGGTGATGGCAGCAGGGAGAGTGCATGAATGGATCTAAGAGAATTAATAGAATTTACAAGGCACATGCTGCTAGTGAGCGAATGCTTCTGTCACACCCCCTCTCAAATCACGGCTGCTATGAGTGTTTGGAGGTGGTAGTGGGATTTGAAACATGGGTAGGTCAGGAGGGTGCGGCCCTCGTGAAAGAGATTAATGCCTCTATAAAAGAGACGTGGTGGCTATTGTATCCATTCTGTCATGTAAGAACACAGGAAGAGGAAAGCGCCCTGGGAACCAGACACTGAGTTCTCTAGATCTTTTATCTTGGACTTCCCAGCCTCCAACACTATAAGGAAGGGTGCTGTATTTAAGCTGCAGGCTATGATCCTAGTACAGAAAAGCCCCAGTGCTGCTCCAAGGCATAAACCAAAAGAAGTTAGGAAAGTTATGGTTTGATAGTATAGTGTTTACCATCTTGGATTTTGAGTAGGGAAAGCCTGCTCCCAGCTCTATCATTAATTGCCTGTGTGTTGTCAAGCTGGTAATTGCCTTTCATAGATTCAGATGTTAAGAACCTATGATTCAACATCATAATAGTTCATCAAATGGCAGAGCTCTTGTGGGGACTCAATGAGCTAATTCCTGGAAAGTCATCAGTACTTTACTGCCTGGTGTGCAGTCAGCGAGTGCAAGAAATAATTAGTAGTGTTAACATCAGTATGGTTATTACTATTGTTATGGATGCTTCTGAAGTTGGCAAACTGTGGCAAAACTATCAGCCTTCCCCTTTGTAGTCCAACTGAACTAAGAACCCTATTCCCACCCCTACCTCCAAAAAAGGCCTTCCTAAGCCTTCACAATATGACTAATAACTGCCTAGGCAGGAACCTGAGCCTCTCCTCCACAAATCCAGGCTGTCCTTCATCCTTGCTTTCTTTCCATAGGGACCCACTGTGTGTAGAATGCTCCTCACCCAGCTCTGTAGTTGACAACTGTTTTCAGTCTAGCTTTATTCTAAAGCCTGCATCATCCTGTCCTAGACACTGTAAAAATACAAGTTACCTACAGTGCTAACATGAAATCAGCAAGTGACCATTTCTGTTTCTATCACGACTATTTTATGTAATTTGGCTAATGCCATGGAGAATTTGCCATATTTTTTAAAACACTATTTTAAAGTATTTAAAAGTTCCACCATTGGTACATCTTTGCCCATAAAAGCACATGAATTCTGTAATAAGTAGCCTTTCTCCCCATTTCCCCACTGGATCTTAATGACATTCAAGACTGATTAGTTTGAAACATGCCGTGGAACCTGGGGAAACAGCTGTTTAGTGTGTTAAAGGTAAAGAGGTAGGGCATCATTTCAGTCAAGGGTTGGAAGCAGCATTAGTCTCTTGATCTGTTTCAAGAAACTGGGGTTCCTCTTTCAAGACAATGGCCTCAAGGAGAGTCACATTCATCAAGAATGATTAAGTAAGACCTAGAGCAGTGGTTCTCAACCTGTGGGTTGCAAATCCTTGCCTAAAACCATTTGAAAGCACAGGTGTTTACATCATGGTTCATAATGGTAGCAAAATGACAGTTATGAAGTAGCAGTGAAAATGGTAGGGTGTCACCACAACATGAGGAACTGTTGTCTGTCTGTCTGTTTGAGACAGGGTTTCTCTGTGTAGCCTGGGATATCCTGGACTCACTTTGTAGACCATGCTAGCCTCAAACTCATAAAGATGCACCTGCCTCTGCCTTCCAGAATGCTGGGATTACAGGCATGTGCTGCCACACCCTGCTGAGGAACTGTTTTAAAGGATCGAAGCACTAGGAAGGCTGAGAACCTCTGTCTAGAGGTTCTCTGGATCTCAGAGCATACCCCAATGCTTCTGAGCTTCTGATCTCAGAACTAACTGGTGCCCCTACAGCTCTCTTTCCCTTTCTCCACAGGATAGTTACAGCCACAGCCGACTTGATCTCCTAAATTATTTTTTAATAAGACTTTTTTTTTTTAACTTCAGGTAATTAAGTTACTTCAGAAGCGTAAAGAGGTCACCACCTTAGGCAAAGACAAGCAAATCAA